CCGGTCTTGCTGCCCTGTTTCCCTAATATTGGGGTTCCTGTCCCTTTAAGATTTCCAAAAAGCACTCGCAAAAAAAAAGAAGAGAGAAAAAAAAATGGCCACTCCCGTTTCTTTATCCTCCGCCATCGGCCTCCGGTACCCACTCACCATTCTTGCTGCCCTGTTTCCCTAGTATCCAGGACCCCATGTATGCACTGTGCCTGCGCTCTGGTGCGGATGGCTGGGGCTAGGTGTTCAGCAGTCCTGGGCTCCTTCTCCCTCCCACTCCGACTCCTCTCCACCCGCGGGCGCTGGGGGGAGGGGCGCTCGGGACCCTCGGGGCCGGGCGGGGCTTGTATGTTATCCCCTTCGGGAGTCACTGGGTTCACGCACGTGTGGATGTGGTCTGGATGTTGTCTTGTGTCCTCTGGTCTCTATTTTAGGAAGAGTTGTGTTTGTTATATTTTCATAGATATATGTGGTTTTGGGAGGAGATTTCCGCTGCTCTACTCACGCCGCCATCATCCAAAGGATTCAGTATTTTATTCTTTTTGATGGAATTGTGAATGGAACTGTTTTCCTGATTTCTCTTTCTGCTAGTTCATCATTAGTATATAGGAATGCAACAGATTTCTGTGTATTAATTTTGTATCCTGCAACTTTGCCGAATTCAGATATTAGATCTAGTAGTTTTGGAGTGGATTCTTCAGGCTAATAAGTTTGACAACTTTTATATGAAGTGGATAGATTCCTTGAAAAACATAACCTATAAAAATAAGAAAAGAGGAAATAGAAAATCTGAATGGCCTTATATCTATTATAGAAATTAAATTCTGTCAAATATTTAGAGAAAAAATAATGCAGAGGAGAAAACATTTCTCAAATTGTTTTGTGAGAATAATATAATCCTGATAGCAAAACCTGATAGAGACATTACAAGGAGGGAAAATTAAAGATCATCATACTTTATGAACATAGGGATAAATCAAATTCAGCGAATGGCATTTATACTGGGAATGCAAGGTTAACATATTTGCCATATTATCACAAGAAGATAAGAATGAGTATATACAATTCACCACATTTTCAGAATAAGGGAGAAAAATCTTATCATCCCAATAGATGCAGAAAAAGCATTTGTCAAAATTCAACTTCCATTCATAGTAACAATTCTCAGCAAACTAAGAAGAGAAGGGAACTTCCTCAGTCTGATAAAGCATCTACTAAAATGTTCAGCTTAGTGGCAAAATAGTAAGTGCTTTTCCCTTGGAAACAAAGCAAGAATGTTTACTGTCACAGTTTGTAGTCATCATTGCCTGGGACATCTTTACCAATGCAATGAAGCGAGAAAATACTTAAAAGGCAAAAAAATTGCAAAGGAAGAGTAAAATAATCTGTTTAAAGATTATCTGAATGTCTCATAGAAAACCCTAAGGAATCTACAAGAAAACTGCTACAGGTAATACATGAATCCATCAAGGTCAATATACAAAAGTCAACTGTATTACTATCTACTTGCAGGAAACAGTTGGAAAATGAAACAATTAAAAAGTACATTTATAATATTAGCCAAAATATAAAATAGTTAAGAATAAACTTAAGATGTGCAAGACCTTCTGAAAACTAAAACTAAAACTAAAATACTACTGAGAAAAATTATAGAACTATATAAACTCAGTTTGCTAAGATGGGAATTTCTCCCTAAAATGTATACATTCAGTATAATATCAATCAAAATCTCAATAGACTTACAAAGAGGTCAACAAGTTGATTCTGAAATACATATGGACATGCAATGACCTAGTCATTTTGAAAAAGATTATTTTTTTAAATAATTTTAAAAAAGAAGAAAGTTTGAGCACTTATATGTTATTTTATTTTGAGGCCTTAAGATAAAATACAGTAATCAAACAGTATTATAATTTTGTAAAGATAGATCTATATAGACTAATTGAACAAAATAGAAATCCCAGAAATAGACGCACACACGTAAGGTCAATTAATTTTCAACAAAAGGCTAAGCATACAGAAACAAACTAATGTAGTGTCCATTAATTTTAGGCAAAAGGCACCAAGGCAGTTCAGTAGGAAAGAGAAAATATTTTCTATAAATGGTGCTAGAACTACAGAGTAAATATGGATAATAGTGAACTCTAACCCTTAGCTCATACCAAACACAAAAATTAAAGATGGATCATAGATCTCAGTTCAGAGCTGAAATTAAGCTTCTAGAGAAGAATATTAGAAAGTACCTTTGTGACAATGTGGTAAGCAAAACATTTTTAGGACATAAAAATCACTAAGCATGAAAGAAAAAGGTAATAAAGCTGGACTTCAGCTATAAAATGTCTAGTCATTGAAAGGCACAAGAAAATAAAAAGGCAGAGTACAGATGGGAGAAAATACTCATGATGTGTTTCTCACAGAGGACTCCTAACAAATGTATAGTAAATATACAAACAGTTTAATAAAAAACAAGAAAATACTTAACAGACACTTAACAAAAGAAAATATATGAATGGCTGTATGCATATGAAAAGAGTGCCTAGCATTATTTGTTTTCAGGGAAGTGCAAATTAATACCATCATAGGACACCATATCCACTAGAATAGCTAAATTTTAAAGGACTGACAACAGCCAGTGTTGACAAGGGAGTAAAGCAACTCAAACTCTCTTACATTGCTGGTAGGAAAGTAAAATGATACAACCACTTGGGAAATCTGACAGTTTCTTATAAACTTAAACATATCTGTGTCCTTTGACCTAGCAATTCCACACCTAGTAATTATCCAAGAGAAATGAAAATATGCCCACAAAAACACTTGTTCAAGAATGTTTATAGCAGATTTATTCATAATCATATTTGATTATGAATAATATCAGTCCAAATATCAAACAAAAGAATGAACAAACAAATGGCACGGTCTGTAGTCATAGAAATCAGAGCAATAGTTGCCTAAGGGGAGGTAGGAATTGTCTGGAAGGAAACAGAGGGAAATTTTCTGGAGAGATGGAAATGTTTTGTATCTTGATTGGGGTATTGCTTGCCTTGGGATATTTTGTTACTGAAGCATATACATTTGTCAAAACTCATTGAATTGTACCTTTAAGATAAATTATGATAAAAACATGAGTGCATGTTTTAATTTATTTTTCAACATACCTCTATTGTGCATCTACTATGGGTCAGCCATTGTGATAATTGCTGGGGTACAAAGATGAGTAAGAGAAAGTGGCCCAACTCAAAGATCTCAGCATCTAGCAGGAGCCATAAAAACATAAGAGATAAGTGCCAATGTAAAAATGATGCTGAGAGGTGAGTATGAAAGAGGAAGGAAGTGATTTTGATTTGTTGGGAGTTGGAGAGATAAGACCCAAAAGTGAATAAACTTTTGTAAGGGAAGAAAGGCTTGTAGGTGAAGAGAAGAATCTCATGGACTCAGGCATGGATGAGCCTACATGTGTTTGCAAAATTTTAATTGGCCCAATGTGACTATAGTAATGGGTGATGTTGTAATGATGGGAGATGATATATATTCATGATGGGACCAGATTGCACAGGGTTGTAACATGCCATATGAAGAAGTCATTTACAGGCAATAAGGGGCTACTGAAGGCTTTTAGACAAGAGTGACATCAATTCTATGTTTCTGTGTTTTCAAAAAATATATCTGGTGGTAGTAAAGAAGAATTACTAAAGTTGGGGAGAGATTAGAGGCAGAATGAACAGTTAGAAAGCGATCGTAATATTTCAGGGCCATTTTTTTTTAAATACTTATTCACTAGAACTTTGTGATAAGACATTTTTATTTGGCTTTTCCTTTCTCTTTTTCTTTAAAATTAATAATAGGAATCCAGAAACATTTTGGACCACCACAGGAATGTTTCCCCAAGAGTTCATTATTTGTTTTCACAAACATGTGAGGATTGAAAGGCTTATAATCCAAAGTTACTTTGGTAAGCAAATCATATGTTAATTTTCATCATCTTTTAGTTTTTCCACAGGCAGAGGGCATGTATGTAAACTTTTGCCAAAACAGTAATTTTTTTTTGCAGCATGGAATCTAGTTTTATTGCTGGGGTAGAGAGTGGGGAATATAGGTTAACTGCCTTAAGCACAGTTAACCCCTCTGAAACTGCAAATTTGAAACCCTTCCAAAGCACATAATAATTTCCCTGCAATTTACTATGTGAAAGTCTTTGGCAAAGGACCTTTTTGTGAACATAAGAAGCCAGCTTGCCAGAACACTAGGTTCCTTGACATCTTTATTTCAGATTCATTTGGCTTGGGGTTCTCTGTTAAATGCTTTCTGAAAATCTGATAACCCTGATTATTTGCATTGGATAATTTTGGTTCTTCTATTATAATGGCATTTTCTGAGGGATTTAGGAGGAGAATCTCCCATTGGAACATCATTCTAATACTGTCTTATGTTTAAGGATAAAGTGTATCACACAAAGTCATGGGAGAAGACAGAATACATCCCAGATAGTTCAGATGAAGAGACTTTATTGATGAGACTAGTTACAAAATTATGGTCTGGGTTAAGGGAACAAACCAGGGATAGTGAGACACCCCAAAACTGGCTATGGCAGTAATCCACTACCACCCTGGGACAGGGAGGGCCATAGTGTTATTGGAGCCCAGTGAAAGCTGAAGCCCATAGGTAATGCCTGGCTGGGAGCTTAAATTATGAAGGGACGTAACCAGTGTCAGTTATGGCACTGAAGCAGGAAGGGAGTGGAGAAAACAACTCAATCTCACTTCCCCACTGCCCTCCAGTTTCCTCCCAGGGCTTCCCATTGGCCAAATCCAGCAAGAAGCCAGTGGGCAAGTTGAGGGGTTCTCCTCTCCTCCCAGAGCCCAGAACAGAGAAGGGGACAAATGGATCTAGGGTAGCAGGTGCTGGGCTAGGGGTGATTGAGAAAAACCAGTGCAGGGGGCAGATGACTGCATTCCTGTTAAGTCTTTTCTCTGTTCCTCTGTCATCAATTGTAAAGGCACTGGAGTCAGACCTAAGTTTGAATTCCAGTTCTGGCACTTAACTAGTTCTATATCACTGAACACCTCCCCTGACTTCTCTGAGTTACCTGATTTCTCTAAACCCGTTTTCTTGTCAGTAAAGTAGGTTAATACTTTTCTCATAAGATGGTAGTCAAGAGTGAATGAATAAATATACTTGACTCAGTAGTTTCTCCGTGAAGTTTTATGACTAAGACCACTAACAGTAGTAGTATTATTACCCATATACAAAGAAGTCTGCATGATACCATATTCAGAAAGGCTCCACTAGCTCTGTTTTTTATGCTTGCAAACATTTGTAAGATTATAGTGACACAATACTGCATTTTACCATAGGAACTTAGGGAAAAACAGAGTGAATTTTCTGAACATGGTGTTCCTGATCCCAGTATTTTGTGCAGTCCCACCAATGCCTCAAATAAGGGGAAAAAATACAGGGACAGCAACACAGAATTAGGTAGCTAATTAACACTTTATTTTGTTTATATACGTCAGTTCGGACCTTGAGGATCGAAAAGAGCACCTCTAAAGAGCCAGTGGATTTTGAGCAGTGGATTGAAAGAGGTATGTGATTGCTTCACCAGCATGGCTCTGAGCATGAGGGAGTACAGAATTATCCTTTGAATCTGTATTTCCAATTGGGTTGCCTTTTTGTGAAAAAAGTGACCTAAATGATTCTTGTGACATAATGGGAGCCTAGAAAAGTTGAGTTCAAATACAAGACTGCTTCTTCCCTTACTGGTTATGTAACTGTTAACCTGGTACTTAATTTTTCTGAGTTTTAGAATCCTCATCTGAAAAATGGAGCTGATACCTTCCATTTAACTTTTTTGTGAACATAGCATCTGGCATATAGTAGACAAACAATAAATACTAGTTTCTCATCTTTCTTTTCTCCCTTATCAATGGTATCATTTAAATATCAGCAGCAAGGGGGTGAGGACTTGATAATATGGGTGAATTTTGAAACCACAGTGTTGTTTATGTGAAACTGTCATAAGATTGTTTATCAATGATACTTTAATTTTAAAAAGTTATTTGTTAACAAAGCATGATTTTTCCCTTACATAATTAATTTAAATTAAACATTTTGCAATATATGACAAATGGGAAAAAAAATATCAGCAGAATCAGTAACCTCTAGTTAAATGCTGCATATTGCCTCCATGGCTTCATCCCCTATCCTTCCCAAAATGAAAATGATAGTAAAGGAATAAAAAGCATAAAGCTATAAGGACAAGAAAATAAAAACAAACAAAAACAGGAAACCAAACAGATAAGAATCAATATGTATTAGAGAAGAGAGGACACAGATGGAAGAGAAGTAACTTCTTTAGCTGAATGGATTAGGTTATAACCTGAGTGCCTACCACAAAGAATATCAGTGAGAAGCAAGCCAGTTTGCCCAACATAACTTAGAAAGGTCTAGAACTTGAAGGCAAAAGGTACCATAGAAAGTGTGAATGAGACATTGGCAGGAAAACAAGGGTAATTAGTTGAATATCTATATATAGACTAGTTGGAACACTAGGCACCTTCTCTTGCGCTGCAAAGCTAAATGACCACTCCTTCTCCCACAAACCAACCCCAAGGGATTACTAGGAACATTGAATGTTGAGGCTCAGAACTCACAGAAACGAGGCATAGTACCATGAGTGAGACACGGAGTTTAAAACGGGGTTTTAGTGGAAGCCTGTGTATTGAATGGTGGGAACTTCTCCTGTGCTGTTATTTATGATAGTTGTCAAGAATATAGCCCAACTATCTTACTACACTGATAGACAGTGACTGCAGTGGGGTATGGGGGGGACTCGATAATAAGGGTGAATGTAGTAACCACATTGTTTTTCTTGTGAAACCTTTTTAAGAGTGTATATCAATGATACCTTAATAAAAAAAAAAAAGAATGAGGAATTATAAAAAAATTGTATTAAATAGAATATAGCCCAACCAAGAGATTGGAGGGTTCACTTTTGGAGAAACTGAATGGCCCCAGAAAAAAGAATCTATGTATATGATAAAAGCTAGCTCATTCCTGGTCACCCTGTTGATGTCCAGTAGTTAGCGAGGCTGGCTCATGCACAGTTTTCAAGTGATTTATTTATAAGTAACAAAAGATTGCCAGACATTTGATGAAGTCCTTGAATCCTGAGTATAATCAAGCCTTTAGTTCTAATTCCAAAGGATAGAGGAACAAATTTAGTGAAACCAGGAGGAGGCAAGATGACAAAATGTGGGACATTCTACAAGACAACTGACCTGGTCTCTTTAATAAGTCAATGGCATGGAAAAAAATGTATGTGTGGGAGAGAAAGCAGTCAAGATTGAAACAGACTTAATTCTGATTTGAATAAACCAACTAGAAAAAGACATTTTGGGGGACAGTGGGGAAATTTGAATATGAACTGGGTATTAAAGGATATTAAAAAGTATTTTTAAATGTTAGTATAGTATGATAATGGTATTATGGTATATAAGAAAATATCATTATTTAGATATGGATAATCAAATCTTTAGCAGTGAAATGTCATAATGTCTTAGACCTTTAAAATACTTCAGCAAAAAAAATTAGATGAATCAAGTATGGTGAAATGTTAGTAATTATAAAATCAATATGATGGGTGTATATGAGTTATATCCTGTCTTCTTTTGTGTATGTTTGAGATTTCCCAGTTTTTCTAATTTAAAACAAAATAAGCAAATGAAAGAAGAGGTTATTAATAACTCCTGGTTAAGGGGAAGTTGTATAAAGAAAGAAAATTGATAGTAATTTATTACTTATTTCAGCAGTAATATTTATGTAGCCAATAATGTAACCATCAAGTATTTCAAAATTGAGAGGATAGTAGGAGGAAAAAGTTGCAGGAGGAGGAGGAAGAGGATATTGGTCTGAGACCTAAATTTTTACCTACCACAATATGAAGTCAGCAAAATGTTGATAAATCAGGAAAAGGCATGTAAACATACTATACTTCCAGGAAAAACAGCTTAAAGAATTGAAACATTTACCTCTAGGGAGCAGGACTGGAAATGAAAGGAGAGGTCATGCAGGGGATTCCTGTTTTTCATTGCTTTAGGGAAGGTCAGGAAACAAAAGAAAGTCATATATAACCTTACTTCCCAGGGACTTCCCTTTCTGTGCTGTGTGCCTTTTAAAATAATGTGCACTTACTACTTTGATAAAAATAAAATTAATTTCTAAATAATGTCAGTATTTATTATTTATTATATCAATTAAATATTTCATGTTTCCAAAACATGTTTGATATCTGTCCTAAAATTATGTAAGTAAAATTATGTAAGTTATGCCTTTTATAACAAACATCTCTATTTTCAGATTGAATTTTAACCCCCAAACACTAGTTAATCTAGTCTAACTAGAGTTCGTCAGACACCATGTTTTGCTAAAAATAAATTTCAGTAGTTTTTCACATGTATTTTGAGCCCTAACTCATTTCTGTTAAATTTGTGTTTTAGATCTAGTACACATGGAGGGGCAGCTTCAAAATGAAGAAATTATGGTAAGTAAATATATTTTGTAGAGATAAACATTATCCTTAGTACAATATATTTAAATTTTAAACCTAGCTCCATAGTCATAAAGTTAATAAATGCCCTCATGATATTTAGGTTCTGAACCTAATCAACCTCAATAACTGTATATAATCTAAATGTAGCATTGATAAATTAGGTTTTTATCTATCAGAGACACAGTGATACCAAGGATAAAACAATTTGCTTATTGTTTTTGTTTTATTTTGTTCATTTATTTTGAAATATTTACTTGCTTTGCTTTGCTTTCACTTGACTCTTCAGACCTTTTAGAATAGGAATCAGAAAAGAAGGATATGCCAAAATTAGATGTTAACTTAAGCATGAAAAGACAAAGGAGTTCAGATAAGGGGAACTAGAGCATAGGATCAACAACAATAATCCAAAGACAGATGAGGTGGAAAGAGAACCAGCATTTTTCTACAACATTCCATTGGGCTTTGCTTGTCAAGTGGAATGAATGCCCATTGATGAAGAAGCTGCTGCCTCATCAGGAGTTTCTCTGCTCCTACTAGTTTGTCAGGCCCTGGTTTTAGATGAACACAAAAAAAGTGAAACAACTGAATGTGTGTTTTTTAGGTGGTAGAATTTGTTTGATTAAGATTTATCTAAATGGGAGGTTAAAGAGGTACTTTGTCCAATAAGTTTCCTTCTCCACAACTTACTAGGAGCTGCTATGACATCAGTGTTTCACAAGATTCTGTAGGAGGTTTTTGAATCCTATTAATTACTTTCTTTATGACTGGGAAGGCCAGTGGGGCTCAGAAAAATGATTAATTTGACTGAATTATATCCTATTTTCTCCATCTTTACTAATGGGTTATGATTAGTAAGACTCTGCTAACTATTTTGTTTCAGGACTCACTGTGCATCAGAAGGGTCACAGCATTATGGAACATTTGGAAGGAAAATAGGGAGACTAGGAGGCTAGAAATCACCCGTAATTTTATTACAGCTTTTACTAACTTTCTTCTAGTTGTCAACAATATGTATCACATAGTTATATAATAATATATGAGCAGTTTTGCATCTCTAAACTCATAACAAAAGCTTCATAATTATAATTTTAAAATTAAGTGTATGCAGATAGGCAAATGTTAACTAATTTCATTTTTCCTCCTGCTGTCATCATACTACTATAGGGGACATCTTATATATGTTCCTGCTACCACTATCTTCACCTTTTAAATTATTTTCTAAGATTAAATTTCAAGAAGTAGAATTACTAGGTCCACAAGTATAGATATATTTATAGCTTCCTATATATATTATCAAATTGCTTTCCAGAGAAATTATATTAATGTGAAAGTATAATAGTGTTTCAGGGTAGTATATTCTGAGGCATCATCAAACAAAGGAAATCTCTTATCATGGAAAATACTTTAGAAAGACACTTTTAAGAAATTAATTAGAAATGTACACTTGCAATTTTTAGCTTCATCTGCTATGTCTCATCAAACCAAGGCTGATATTTGGCCGATACTCATCAGAACTTCTGATAGCTTCTTTTCTGAACATTATATCTTATTTATGTGTTTAGAATATTATTTTTGCATCAAACCCTTTCTTCTGCTGACTGTTTTACAGCTAACTAGAATTGCTAAAAGCCTCCCTATTGATTTTTCCCCTACAGGCACAGGATGGTCATGCCACTTACTTGAGATTCATTATCATATCAGCCTTTGATCATTTTGCATCTGTGCATAGTGTTTCTGCAGAGGGAGTAGCAGTCTCAAATCTTTCTTAGTAATTATAACAAAATACTCTTGAAGGATTTTTAACAATATATTTATTTAAACATAAACTTGTCATCGATATACTTTATTAAAGGGATTTGTAGCAATGTGTTTTAGTTTTCATTTATTTTCTCTTCAACATTTTGTGTAAAGGAATTTGGCTCATCAGTCAGCAGTGATGACCACCATGTGGAATATAAGAAAGCTCTTGCTTCAATATACAGCTTAATAAAGGAAATGACCTTACATGAAAACTTAACTGATAATACATTGTATCCCCATAGCATCTAACATGGTGCCCTTCAGATCTCAGTGCATTAATTTTTTAATTTATTGATTGATGAAAAAGGCTAAAAGTAATATTGACAGTAAACAATGTACAAGTTCAGAAAAGAGAAAGTACTTATGGGAAGGTTTATTGAGGCGATGGAACTTGAGCTGGGTCCTGTATGATAACCATTTGAATTTTTTCTTTTAACTTTATTTTGTCCTGATTTGAAAACCTCAGAGAAGAGTTAGGAAACACAGGATCTTACTTCTCATAGACAACCATTTTTTTTTGGGGGGGGGGTAACGAACAGGATAGGACATACTGAGAGGAAATAAGACTTCTCTGAATATTCTTTACTTATATATAGCTTGACTTTGGAAACATAAATAACTAATATAGCCAAAACTTGCAATAAAATAAATTCCAGAACATTGGAAACAAACAGAAATATGTGAACCTAACTCTATCACAAGTTGATAAAAGCACACAGGAAAAAAAATGGCATTGGAACATAGTATTTTGTCTGTACAGTCTGTATTAGTCTCTTAGGGCTACCATAATAAAGTACCACAAACTTGGTGACTTAAAACAGTAGAAACTTATTTCCTCACAGTGCCAGAGGCTAGTAGTCCGAAATTGGGGTATTGGTAGGGTTTGTTCCTATTGGAGGTTCTGAGGGAGAATGTGTCCCATGCCTCTCTCTTCGTTCTGGTATTGTCGTCGATCCTTTGGCATTCCTTGGCTTTTGGTACCAGAGCTCTAATCTCTGCCTCCATCATCATATGGCATTCTCTCTGTGTGTCTTCACATCATCTTCCTTCTGTGCATATCTGTTCTGTGTCTTCCCTTCTTATAAGGACACCAGTCATATTGAATTAAGGCCCTCCCCTACTCCAGTGTGATCTCATCATTACTAACTACGTCTTCAGTGACCCAATTTCCTAGGAACATCACATTTACAGG